TCCCATACACACTAACTACTGGTAGCCTCTCATTAAGTCTCTGACTTCCCGTATTTCTTTTGCACAATTAAGCAGATATATATGTATATTTTACACCTCCTTCATCACATGAAGGGTAATATATTACAGATATTCTTTTGCCTTTAACACTTTTAATTTATGATATATTGCAGAAATTACTCCATATTAGCTCATAATGATCTTCCATTTTCTTTTTTACAGCTTCATGCTACCACACTCTACGAATGTGTCACAGTGTATATGGGTATTTATGTTGTTTTCAACATTTTGCAAATATAAATAATGTTGCATATTCACTGTGCATATTCACTGTTGTATTGTATTGTTGAAAGTATATCTACAGGGAAAACTTCTAGAAATGGGATTGGTAAGCCAAACGATAAAGCCGTATCATTTGTTAGGTATAGATAGGATACATGTAAAAATAAATGTAGATGTGGATATTTGCATGGGTGTATACATGCATATATTTCCTAGTTTTGTTCTCTGAGAGGACCTAGAAGCAATGTTTTCAAAAGCATTATACTAGCTTGCATTGGTACCAGCAATGTCTTATCTGTCTTTAACAATATGCTTGCTTAAATCAGGATCAAGATAAGCTCTATACATTGCAAGTGGTTGATATGTTTCTTAATTCTTTTTTAATCTGTAGGTGTTCTGGACTACTCCAATTCCTGTCTGTCTTTTTTTAATTTAAATATATTTGTTTTAAAAACCCGTATCTGCATTGCAGAGTTTCCCACAGGCTGGATTTTTCTGACTGCATTCAATGATGTCATTTGTCATGTAATTCTGTGCTTTGCATTTCCCATAAATTATTAAATTTAGAGGCTTGATCAGATTTGAGTGAACTTTTCTGGCAAAAATATTTCATAGAAGGTATTGTGTACCTTACTAAAAGGCACCTTGTGACTGGCAACCTAAAAATTTTTTAAATAGTTTATTATGTACCTTGAAGATGTATTTTTAAGATGAGGAAAGAAATGAAGAAAAACATTTCGTATGTGTGCCACCACATATACGCTACTTCAGAAATAATTTATTATTATATTTCATCTGGTAATAAAATTGACATATATTCATCTCAAAAAATGGTGAGTAGAACAGTAGATGCTGCTAGACAACAATTAGGATGGCTCCCTGGCTCATAAGGATTACCTACTGGTTATGTCTACGTTATTTAACCTGCCTTCACAGCCACCTGTGACTCCAGCTAGGCAATCAGAATCTCTTCACTAGAAATTTAAAACTTGGAGACACAAAGAGAGAAATCATGTTAATAGCAGCACTTTAGAAAGAAAATGTAGAAAATTATTGCTGCTAACATGCTTAAACAAAGAAGGGCCCTATTCCTGCTTGGGTATTCACTCCTTTGATTCTGAGAGCTAATTAGAACTTCCTCTACCTGACACCAAATCTGCCACTACCTTGATCTTGGACTTCCCAACCTCCAGAACTGTGAAAAATAAATTTCTGTTCCTTATAAGTCATTCAGTTTGTGGTATTTAATTATAGCAGCCCAAACAAACTAAGACATCAACAAAACAGAACCTTAGCAACTACAATGATACCAATCATTGATCAGAGGTGAAAAAATTTACCCAAGATGCTATGGGATAGTAATGGGAATCAGATCACCTAACACCCACTAAAAGATTGTACACAATAGTTCCTTCATTATCTTAGTTCTGTGGTATCTTGTAATTTTGGAAATATATCTTCTCTGATGCTAACATGGAAGGTAAAGTAAGGGCTCAGAAAACTAAACAATATATGTAGTAAACCAGATAAGCTTCTTCTAATACCACAACTCACTGCACAAAACAATAAAGCCCATAAATAACATCATTGGGTACAGGCTATTTCTTGCCTGTACTTTTTCAAAAGATCTCTATGCTAGCTATTGAACAGATAGTTGCACTCCCAGGTTTATTGCAGCACTATTTATAATACCAAAGATATGTAATCAACCTAGGTGCTCATCAGTGGATGAATGGATATAGAAAATATGGCATATATACACAATGAAATATTATTGAACCACAAAAAATAATAGAATCCTGTCATTTACAATAGCATATCTGGAACTGGAGGAAATTATGCTAAGTGAAATAAGCCAGGCAAACAGAGACAAATGTCACATGTTCTCACTCATATATGGAAACTAAAATATTCACCTTATGGAGGTAATGAATAGAATGGTGGTTACCAAAGGCTGGGAATTTTAGTTGGGTAGGTGGAGATAAAGACAGGTGGTTAATGGGAACAAAAATACAGTTAGATAGAAGGAAGATCTAGTCTAGTGTTCAGTAGTACAATTGGGCCATTATAGTTAACAACAATTTATTGTACATTTCAAAATAAGCAGAAGAATAGATTGGAATGCTCCTAATACAAAGAAATAATAGTTGATTGAGGTGATGGGTATCCCAGTTACCCAGATTTGATTGTTATTCCATTCATGCTTGTATCAAAATATCACATTTACCTCATGAACACATACAACTATTATGTATACATAAAATTTAAAAATTAAAAATATGTATGCTAGTTATGCTTTTCAGTTTAGGCCAAAGTCATCTCTTTTATGACAGGAAGATGGGAAAGGAGTGCAATCATTGAAAGTTAATTTATTTCAAACTCTTTACACAGCTTCTTCATTCATGCCTCATAATATCCTGAGAGTTAGGTAGCCATTATTCCCATTTTACAACTGATAAAATAGAAGTATTGCTAGGTCTGGCATAGTGGCTCACACCTGTCATACAGCACTTTAGGAGGCCGAGGCAGGTGGATCACTTGAGCTCAGAATTTTGAGATCAGCCTTGGCAACATGGTGAAACCCCGTCTCAACAAAAACATACAAAAATTAGTCAGGCATGGTGGCAGGTGCCTGTAGTCCCAGCTACTCAGGAGGCTGAAGTGAGAGGACTGCTTGAGTCTGGGAGGCAGAGGTTGAAGTGAGCAGAGATTGTGCCACTGCACTTCAGCCTGGGTGACAGAGTGAGACGTTGTCTCAAAAAAAAAGTGAAATAACTTTTCCAAAGTAATCCATCATTTAATTCATAGAGCAAGGAAATGCATTACAATGTCCATTAACATAAATACATGTACTAAAAACTGAAATAACCAAAGTGGTCATTCATAAAATGGAAAAATAAATTGTGGTAGAGGTATACATTAGAAACAATACAGTAGGGAAAATAAATTAACTGTTAATAAAAGTTATCAACATAAAGCTCACAACCATATTTTGACTAAAAACAAGTTGAGAAGAATATATACAGTATACCATTTATATTAGACTTTAAAGGAAGTAAAATAATACTACATATTTCTGAGATATAAATGTACATGTGGTAAAAAAATTAAAAAATTATTCATAAAAAAATAAACACCAAATTCATGATTGGAGTAATGAAATTAAGGAAGGTTACACAGATCTCAGCTGTATTGATCAAATTTTTACTTGTTAAACTGAGCTAAGGCAACAATGGTATTGGTTGAATTTTTCTTTACAATCTTGTGTATTGCTTAATATGTAATACCTTAAAAAAGAAAGTAAATGGTATTTGGAGTATAAAAATTAATGTTGAAATAAATGTACATGGATCTTTAAGAAAAAAAGAAAGAGAGAAAGTTGGGGGAGGACGTTGAGAAGGAAAGCAGAGGAGGGGAGGAAAAACAAATGCTACAATTCCACTACCCAGAGATTTTCATTGCTAGTTGTTTTGTTCATAATTTCTTACAGTATTTTTTCTGTTCATGTAGAAGTATGTGTTCACATATATTGTAAAGAAACATTTGATAATATTATGACTACTACTAGAAAACCTATTTTGTAACTTATTTCGCAGGCACCAAATCAGTGCCATTTAAAAGGGCTGTATTCTATCCAATCATATTGTTATACCACAATTTATTTTACCAGTTCACTATTGATGAGCACTTAGATTATTTCCAAAGTGTGCTATTACAAAGAATGCTGCAATTAACACATTATATATGTATGTGCATGCATGTGTGTATTTTCAGTAGTAACTGTTGAAAAAAATTTCCTGAGGGTAGAATTTCTAGGTCAAAGACTAAGAAGTTTTCAACTTTGTTACATATGCCAAATAGCCCAACAATAAATGATTATACTAATTTACACACTTAACAATACTGTAATTGAGTGCCAGTGTCCCCAAACTCTGCACAACACAGGGCATAAACAATCTTTTTATTCCGTTGTCAATCATAATCTGCTATTCCGTTCTTTCACGTGCATTTATTAGTGAAGCTGTCACTTTTTAAACGTTTACTCACCATACTTGAATAACTTCTTCTGATTTTTTGCCATTTGGTTAACGTTTTTGAAGTTTTAATTATTATGGATACATAATAGTTGTACATATTTATGGGGTGCATGCGATATTTTGATTATAACATACAATGTGTAATAATCAAATCAGAGTAGTTGTTATATCCATCACCTCAAGCATTTATCATTTCTTTGTGTTAGAATCATCTCAATTTCGGTTTTTAGTTATTTTGAAATATATAATAAGTTATTGTTAACTATAGTCGTCCTATTATGTTACCAAACACGAAATCACAAATACCAGGAAAGTTAAGAGAGAACTGGATCAGGCGCCAAATGTTTACATTCGAATTAAGGCTCTGGAGGAATAAAAGTGCGTAACCAGGAAAAGAAAGAACAAGAATAATGGGGACATAGAGGGTGAGAGAGCAGGAGAAAAACGAGAAGAAAAAGCCATGTAAGGAAACAGAATTTGCGCCTCAGGCTCCCCCTCCCCCTCTGTCCTGTTCCAGACACCTATTCTCATTCCCGCACTCCCACCCCTGCACCCCTGGCGTCCTGCTAGCTGGTCTGGCTTCCTTCCCTCTGGAAAAAGGCAAATTATTCAATAAAGGGAGGATGAGTCCTAGCTCATCCCCACTTCTTGTCTCCTGCCAGGTATTCAAATACAACTTACCACGCAGTCACCGCCATCCAACTGCATGTCACTCTCCACTTCGCCACGGTCTGAACTCTTGGCCACAAGATCTAAGCCTTCCGGATGCCCCAGCCAGTTCAGGCTGCCGGTCTCTTGTCCTTAAGCCTTTGCCGAGGCAGTCCGCTTACCTGATGCCAGCACACCAGGCCCCCCACCACCCACTGGAAGCACAGGCCCCAGCTCAGGTCAGGTTCCGGCACCTAGAGGCCTCAGGTTCTCACGTGACTTAGTTTCCCAGGCAATAGCGCTTTTCTCCCGGATGTAGCAGTCAGCTGAAAAGGACAGAGTGCTTCTTAAAGTTAACCCTCAAACCACCATGGTCAGTGAATGCAGAATAAGCCCGCTGAGAGTTTCATCTATTTCTATGACATTATGCTGGAAATTATAAAGAAAAGGGATGAAAGAAACTGGAGACTTTTCACCACCAACAACACACAGATCTGTATTATTAGGATTCTTAAAATGAGTATGCCTTGTTTTTATAATTAAACTAACAAAAGGAAAATAAATAATGATGACTAATTAAAGAGAGATTATGTATACAACAAAACCGTATGATTACAACAGCACCTTATGTAGCTTTGAAAATAGGTAATGCTTCATGAGAGAGGTTATAGCAGTGTGCAAATATCAATTCAGACTTTAAACAAGAAGAATACACACACCAAAAGAGATTTTTTAAAACAAAATCTATGCCGTATGTGCTCTATGATTGTCACAGGGCTGAGGAGAACCTGATATTCTGCTATGCATTCCTGTCAGAAAGACAGAGCATGTTGCAGCCACGTCAAAACCAACCAAGGTCAAGAATTTCTTGTGACCAATCATAAAGTCCCTGAAGCAAGAAACAGAGAAACCCATGCCGATAAGAAATAAAGAGACTCAGACCCTGCAGAAAGATTAAGAATAGCGATCGAAGACGTTAACTTGGTTGGAATCTGGCTCTGCCCTTTACAAAGTTATGCGACCTTTTTCATCTGTTAATTGCTTGTTGTAAAGATTAAATTAAGCAAGTCAATGTGTATAAGGCATTTAAAACAATGTCTGGCAATGAGAAGATCTGTTTGATAAATAAATACAATATGGGACACAGACATTGCAGCATAGGAATCCCTCAATCAGGAATCCTAGGTCTCCAAGAACACTGGTGATACTAATTTAGCTGTACAAGAAGGAGGTGTCCTGTGTGGCTGACATAATATTTCAGGGTTTGGAGAGAAACATTCCTACATTTCTTATTTAAGAAAACAACACACCAAGATTGTTTTGAAAGACAAAGTGGACTCTGACTCTGGATCCACGCAGCCTAGATTTGGATCCTAGCTCTGCTATCTATTATCTGCGTTATTAGCTCAAGTTATTTAAGCCTTCTGTGCCTCAGTTTCCCCTTAGGTAAAATAGAGATAATAGTACTAATTTCATAGGTTTGTTGTGAGAAAGTAACATATTAAATAAACTTACAACAATGACTGGCACATAAGTACTACATAAATATTGATTGAAACTAGTAATAAGAGACAAAAAATATTGGAGAATTAAAAGGTAAACCCACACGAAACTACTGTCTCAGTCTGAAGTAAGTAAAATACATGACCACTGCTTGAGACTTCATCAAGGTATTTCAAATAAGAAAATCTTGTCCAATGATGGTGTTGTGAAGCTAAGATTGTAATGTCCTTGGAAAACAAGGGTAAGCCCCTCCGAAATCTAGAACAAGTATGCTTACAACATAAAGTGTAATCCAGCCTAACTAAGATAGGGAAATGATAACCTGAGCTACTAGAGTTGGAGCTGGGGCCAGTGAACTACAACTCAAGGGCCAAAGCTTGTCTATTGTCTGTTTTTGTTTGATCAGAGAGCAAATAATTATTTTTACATATATAAGTGGTTAAAAAAATTAAGAAACAAATATTTCATGACATGTATAAATTATATAAAACTTAAATTTCAATTTTCAAAAATAAAGTTTTATTGGAACACAAACACACTCATTGATATATGTTACATTTACACACTCTATGGCTACATTTACACTACAATGATAGGGTTCAGTACTTAAATTAGACATTCGAGCAACAACATAAAAGGATTTTAGGTCTCTGTTACCGTGGAATCATCACACCAACCATAGATGAATTATCCTCAGACTGTCACGTATTATTTTGAGTATTTTTATGGCAGTCTAATTAATCTGTATTCTGACCTGTACAGAGTACAGGCAAGTTTACACAATTGATTTGGCTTTCTAGATGAATGGGTTTAGATGATATTTATTTAAAACTTTGCAAGATTCTGCTCAAACCAATTCAGCCCAAACTCATAAACTACAAATCAGTCATTTTAAAAATCATTTTCGTGAGTTTTGTTCCAAAAGTGATAAAAATGACTAATCACCTAAAATACCCTAGAATTACTAAATTATTCTCTACCTCATGTTGTTTTATATACAAGATTAATTTGCAAAACCTTAGCCATCAAAATTTTCAGTGAGAAACACATCTAATATTAACATAATGAAAAAGTTACCACTGTTAAGTTTAACAATTTGTAAAACAATCCCAAGTTTGTTTAAACCTATAATGGTTTCTGCAAAGAAAGGCCCCAAGGCAGTCACTAAGGCATGTAGTAGGTGTTAACTAAGGACTTGACCCACCTGATTTCTTGGCGGTGTAATCATTTCTACAATAAGTAGGTACCATGTAGGGTGAGGTGGTCCTAAAGCAGAATATTTACCTATTATACCTAGATAGCTATCCATGTGTGACTGATAACCAGATGGTCGAGGGAAGATAATTATCACCCTTCTGAAAGACGTATGAAAGATTCACTAAGCTAGTAATCAGATAAAAATTAAAACCAGAAAAAAGTAATGTATCCACATACTTCATTTTTTAGCTAGATCTAACAAAAGAATTGGGATTGTAATAGTTTTGTAGATTTAATTTTTTTTTAATTTTACTTTAAGTTATGGGATACGTGTGCAGAATGTACAGGTTTGTTACATAGGTATACATGTGCCATGGTGGTTTGCTGAACCTATCAACCTATCATCTAGGTTTTAAGCCCCACACGCGTTAGGTATTTGTCCTAATGCTCTCCCTCCCATTTGCCCCCACCCCCTGGCAGGCCCTGGTGTATGATGTTCCCTTCCCTGTGTCCATGTGTTCTCACTGTTCAACTCCCACTTATGAGAGAGAACATGCGGTGTTTGGTTTTCTGTTCCCGTGTTAGTTTGCTGGGAATGATGGCTTCCAGCTTCATCTGTGTTCCTGCAAAGGACATGAACTCATCCTTTTATGGCTACATAGTATTCTCTGGTGTATATGTGCCACATTTTATTTATCCAGTCTATCATTGATGAGCATTTGGGTTGGTTCCAAGTCTTTGCTATGGTAAATAGTGCTACAATAAATATATGTATACCTGTGTCTTTATAGTAGAATGGATTATATACCCAGTAATGGGATTGCTGGGTCGAATGGTGTTTCTGGTTCTAGATTCTTGAGGAATCCCCACACTGTCTTCCACAATGGTTGAACTAATTTACACTCCCACTAACAGTGTAAAAGTGTTTCTATTTCTCCACATGCTCTCCAGCATCTGTTGTTTCCTGACTTTTTAATGACCACCATTCTAACTGTCATGAGATGGTATCTCATTGTGGTTTTGATTTGCATTTCTCTAATGACCGGTTACGATGAGCTTTTTTTTCATATGTTTGTTGGCTGCATAAATGCCTTCTTTTGAGAATTGCCTGTTCATATCCTTTGCCTACTTTTTGATGGGGTTGTTTGTTTTTTTCTTGTAAATTTGTTTAAGTTCCTTGTCGATTGTGGATATTAGCCCTTTGTTAGATGGATAGATTGCAAAAATTTTCTCCCATTCTATAGGTTGCCTGTTCACTCTGATGATAGTTTCTTTTCCTGTGCAGAAGCTCTTTGGTTTAATTATATCCCATTTGTCAATTTTGACTACTGTTGCTATTGCTTTTGGTGTTTTAGTTATAACTCTTTCCCCATGCCTATGTTCTGAATGGTATTGCCTAGGTTTTCTTCTAGGGTTTTTATTGTTTTAGGTTTTATGTTTAAGTCTTTAAGCCATCTTGAGTTTGTTTTCATATAAGTTGTAAGGAAGGGGCCCAGTTTCAGTTTTCTGCACATAGCTAATCAGTTTTCCCAGCACCATTTATTAAATAGGGAATCCTTTTCCCATTGCTTATTTTTGTTAGGTTTGTCAAAGATCAGATGGTTGTAGATCCACATACTACATATTTTTTTAAGACAAAAGTTATTAAAAACCTCTACTGTAGAAGAATCACATCAGCAAAATGGTAGAGTAGCTTTAAGTTTGTATCTGCCCGCAAAATCACTGAAAAATAATTAGGAACTGTCAGAACCAACTTTGTAAAAACTCTGGGAAATAGTCAAAGTTTTACAGCCACCAAGTAAATGCTGAAGTAAAAATGATAAAAATCAAAGTGACAGGAAGATTTGTGGCATTTTTACTTGCTCTTTCCACCTTCTTCCGTGGCACAGTAGCAGTCTTGAAGAGGGAAGTCCACATGCCCAGACTAAGACCCTGATCCCTGGTTCCAGAAGGAGCAGTAAATACTTTGTTTGAAAACTATTTTGTTCTAACTTGTCTGGAGGCTACTTAAGGATTAAAACAAGGTGTTCATCTTTGCCTTTACTAACCTGGAACTCAGGCCAGAAAAGCAGTGGGCAATGCTTAAAACACCACCAACTGGACCCAAAGGCTCCTGAAACAAAGATTATAGTTGAGACATGCACTATATCATCTACAGCCTGAAAACAAAACCTAGGAAGAGTTTCTTTGTAAAATATTTGAAAACAATAACATCTACGAGTAATTTAAAAGACTATACTCATGTCCCAGGCAAGAGACATATGCAGAAAACACCAGAGAAGCTTTCACACTGGGCTGATCCCTGGGCTAAGTGCAAACCTGGCTAAGTGTTAAAGAAGTGCCCAGGCACAGAGCTAATCTACAAAGATTGGTGGTGGGGGTTTGTTTGTTTTTTTAGCTCCTCACATTCAAGGAGAGCTCTATCATTACACTAGCTGAACCCAAGCAAAGAAACAGAGACTTCAGTGACTGCACAAATCAAGGAATATAGTCCTTACAAAAAAAAAAAATCAGAAAATCACTATCAAATGACGACCACAATCTCCAACAATCAGAAAAATAGCAAACCCTAGGAAAGGGAGGAATCTGATTTGCAGAGATACAACATTATAATATTCAAGTGACC